GCCCAGCTCCCCCCCCCTCCCGCCGCCCCTGTGCCAGTCGGTGCCCTTCGGCAGGTGACGGCGGGACAGCTGCGGGAGCGGGGCAACGCGCTCTTCCAGGCGGGGGACCACGCCGCGGCCCTCGCTGCCTACACGGAGGCGCTGAGCCTCTGCGAGGCCGAGCCGGAGCAAGCCGTGCTGCACCGCAACCGGGCTGCCTGCTACCTGAAGCTGGTGAGAGTGGGGCGGGTGCGTCACCACGGGCCCTGCAGGAACCTGCCCGGCCGCCCTGGCCTGTTGGGGCTGCACTGCTGGCGCCTGCCCCAGCCTGCCCCCCTTCACCGGCTGCGCTGGGAGGTCCCTGAAGCCCCTGGGAAGGGTCTTGTCAGTCCCCGGCTAGGGTCTTGTCAGTCGCTGGGCAGAGCCCTGTCTGTCCCCGGGCAGGGTCTTGTCAGTCCCCAGGCAGGGCGCTGTCAGATGTTCCCTTCACTCACCTTTTCTCCCAGCCCTACCTGCTGACCCGTGCTGTCCCACCTCCCCTGCGCACTGCTGGGGCCAGGGCAGGGCCCTCCCATCCATGCCTGGGCTGTGTGTACTCTGGGGCTGTTCCCCAGCACTTCTGATCTCCCACGGTGACACTGTCCCTGAGGCAAGGAGCAACACAAGGAACTTCAGGGGCTCGAGCAGGCAGGGAGCACTTGAAAAGCAGCAGGGGCGCTACAGGTCCTGTGAGGGTTGTGTTCTGGGAAGGGCAGGACGTCCTGCTGGGCTGGCTCCCTGTGCACAGTGACACTGTCAGACCCCACTTTGCTCTCTACAGCGGTGGGTGCTGGGCTGAGCGAGCCCTGCGCGGGCAGGGTGGTCAGGCCTTTCCCCCTCACTGACTCTTCCTGTCTCTGCAGGAGGACTACGCCAAGGCAGAGACCGATGCGTCTAAAGGTACAGTCAGTGGTGGCTGGCAGGGGACTGGCCTCTGCACGCTGCTGCTCGTCTGGGTGGGCTGGATCAGTCCAGGGCCTTTGCGGTAGATCCTCCGCTCGTCTGCAGCCATTGAAGCCAATGGCCGGGACGTGAAGGCGCTGTTCCGCCGCAGCCAGGCGCTGCAGAAGCTGGGCCGCCTGGACCAGGCCGTCAGCGACCTGCAGCGCTGTGTGAGCCTGGAGCCCAAGAACAAGGCCTTCCAGGAGGCCCTGCGTGCCCTGGGGAGCAGCATGCACGAGAGGGTGAGTGGGGGTGGCAGTGTGGGAGGTGGGAGCTGCAGGGCTTCCCCCCTGGTGTGAGTAGTGGGCTCAGGGAGGCAGCGAGGGCTGACCGGCTCTTTCTGCTCTGTCTCAGATGAAGACGATGTCCTGCACAGATTCAAAGGTGGAGCAGATGTTCCAGATCTTGCTGGATCCTGATGAAAAGGATGAGGACAAGAAGCAAAAGGTCTGAGCTCTGGGGAGCGGCGGGCAGCATGGCTTGGCTGGAAGGCGAGGAGGGGAGGAGCGGTATTCACAGGTCAGCACTGCTGGCTCCAACGGTGCTGCCCAGGGGAGGCCAGGCTGAACACGCTCCCCAGAGCCTCGGGGTGGAAGACAGGTGCCTGCAGCTGTGCTGGCTGCCTGGCCGGGGAGGTTCCCGGCCTGCAGTGGGCTGCGTTTGGGTGGGCAGGTGACCCAGACACACCTCTCCTTTCCCAGGCTGCGCAAAACCTGATTGTGCTGGCACGAGAGGAGGCCGGAGCCGAGAAAATCTTCCAGAGTGATGGCGTGCAGCTGCTGACGCGGCTGCTCGATACGGCCAAGGCTGACCTGATGCTGGCGGCCCTGCGGACCCTGGTGGGGCTGTGCACCGGCCACCGCTCCCGGGTAGGTCCTGATGTAGCCTTGCTCTCCCGCTGGAATTGACTCTGGGGAGGCCGCAAAGTGCCTTGGGCAGGGCGGTGTGGCTGGCCTCTGCCTGCACCTGGCTGCAGCACATCTGAGCAGAGGACCTGTGAGCTGTCACCTGCTAGGCCTGAGCTTACAAGAGCCTTGTGGTGGTGGGGAATGGTGCCAGGAAGTGCTGAGGCTTCCCTGCAGCCTCTCGTGGATGGTTGCACTTGTCCCTGCAGACCGCGGCTGTCCTGGCGGAGCTGGAAGCCCCTCGGCTCTCGGCAGTGCTGGGTGTGGAGCATGAGCAGGTGTCCCTGGCTGCCTGCAACCTCCTGCACATGATGTTTGATTCGCTGAAGGAGGGGCTGCAGAAGGATTTCCGTGGCAAGGAGGATGCGGTGGTGCCAGGTGGGTGGGGAGAACACCACGTGGGGAGGCCCTGGGCAGCTGCGGGCCACAGGCTCCAGTCCAGGGTCAGTACAAGGTGGAGCTAGGGAGTGGGAGCCCCTGGTCGTGGCAGCATCTCCTGCCAGCCTCACAAAGCGGGGGTGAGGCCCGTGCCTGGGGCACTGACTGCTGGGCACTGTCTCTTCTGGAAGATTCTTCCAAGGACCTGAAAGTGCTGATCAAGCACCTCTTGGAGCTGCTGGTGCTGGAAGGGGCCTCTGCGCACGGCCGGGACAACGCCCTCAACCTGCTCATCAAGGTGGTACCCAGGAAGTCTTCGAAGGAGACCAACAACAGCCTGAGCCTCTGGGTGATCGACCAGGGTGAGCAGAGTGGCCTGCAGCATCACTGCGCCTTGGGGGGGCCACGCCCCATCCTGCTCCTCACCGGGTGTTTGACCTCCGTGTCCTCCTAGGCCTGAAGAAGGTCCTGGAGGTGGGAAGCACTGTGTGCGGTGCCCCAGGCAGCCTGCCCGTGACGGAGAACAGCCGGATGAGTGCCTCGGTTCTGCTGAGCAAGCTTTATGATGACCTGAAGTGCGACGCTGAGAGGGAGAACTTCCACCGCTTGTGCAAGGACTACGTGAGGTGAGCCTGGGCCTCCCTGTGCAGCCTTTGGGGAAGCAGCAGTCCCCTCATCCCCAGACCTCTTTGCCCTTGGCAATAAAAGCAGATTGCAGACAGTGTTGGGGTTCAGCAGGTGGGGCTGCCAGCAGCTGAAGGCAGTGGGAGGGCTCAGCCTCACCCTTCCCGGGGATCTTACCCCACAGGAGCTGGTTCGAGGGGCATGAGCTGGCTGGGAAGCTGCGGGCCGTCCAGGCAGTGTCGTGCCTGCTGCAGGGCCCCTCGGATGCTGGGAACGGGGTGCTGGAGCTGGAGGGGATGATGGACAGCGTGCTGTCCCTCTGCGCCTCTGTCTGCGAGTCCCACCAGCTGGTCGCGGTGGAGGCGCTGATCCATGCTGCCGACAAGGCCAAACGCGCCTCCTTCATCACCGCCAACGGCGTCAGTCTGCTCAAGGAGATCTACAAACACAGCGAGAGGGACAGCATCCGCATCCGGGCGCTGGTGGTGAGTGTGGCGGGTCCCCAGTGAGGGCTTCGGGGCCCTTGCAGGTACTTTGGGGTGACAGTGCCCGTTGTGCCTCTGACGCTCTGCTCCCGGCCGTAGGGGCTCTGCAAGCTGGGCTCTGCAGGGGGCACTGACTTCAGCATGAAGCAGTTCGCCGAGGGCTCCACGATGAAGCTGGCCAAGCAGTGCCGCAAGTAAGCGAGTGTGGTGGGTGTTGGGCAGGGGAATGGCATCCACCTGCAGCCTGAGCTTACAGGGTCCCTCTCCAGGTGGCTCTGCAACGAGGCAATAGATGCAGGCACACGGCGCTGGGCCGTGGAGGGCCTGGCCTACCTCACCTTTGATGCGGACGTCAAGGAGGAGTTTGTGGAGGACAAGGCAGCGATGCAGGCCATGTTCCACCTGGTCAGGGTGGGTGCTGAACGCTGCGCCAGTGGCGCAGGGTGGCGGACGCTGGGGGAATGCACTGGCAGGGGTTGTGGGGCTCATGCTGTTGGGGTGAGGGGTGTGCGGCAGCACTGGGTGGGCTCGGGGCCTCTCCCCATTGTGGGCGTGACGGGTGCAATGTTACTGCTGCAGTCGGAGGACCGGAGCGTGCTCTACGCCGTTGCCTCCACACTGGTCAACTGCACCAACAGCTACGACCACGAGGAGCCGGACCCCCAGATGCTGGAGCTGGCCAAGTACGCCAAGCAGCACATCCCGGAGCAGCACCCCAAGGTGAGCAGGGGGGGCCTGGCCGTCCCCGGGGGCTGCCGGGAGCCCCAACGCTGGAGGAAAGTGGATGGTGGGTGGGCAGCGCCCAGGGGCGTGTTTGGGAACATGGAGGGGTCCTTGGGGCTTTGGGAGTGGGATGGGAGCCCGCGCAGCATATGGCAGGCTCATGCCCTTGAGCTGAGCAGTGACCCTGCCTCCGGAACAGGACAAGCCGGACTTTTTGAAGCGCCGGGTGCGGAAGCTGCTGACAGCTGGCGTGGTGTCTGCTTTCGCCTGCATAGTGAAGAGCGAGAACCCAGCGCTCACTGACTCCTGCCGGGAGCTGATCTCCAGGTACGGCGTGTTCAGGGGGGTGGTAGAGAGGAAATTGTGTATTGCCCTCATCCTCCCAGCCATCTGACATGCCTTTGGTGAATGCAAGCTGCTAAGAACAGAAAAGAGTCTGGGAGCGGCATAGCCTGGGCCTGCAGCAGGCACCTGGGCGCTGTTGGGACCCACTGCAGCAGGTCCTTGACTCCGGCATTGTCCCTAGGGTGTTTCTGGCGCTGGTGGAGGAGGCGGAGGACCGGGGCAGTGTGGTGGCACAGGGAGGAGGCAAGGTGAGGGGACCACGCGGTGCTGCCATGGGGCTCCGGGGAGGGCTGGCGGGCTGTGCTGTGGTGGCGTGGCAGAGGACTGAGCTGGCTCCATCCTACATGAGACATGAGGCTGTGGGACCAGCTGCTGTGGCTCTGCCTGCAGGCTCTCATCCCCCTGTCCCTGGAGGGCACCGAGGTGGGACAGACCAAGGCGGCTCAGGCCCTGGCAAAGATCACCATCACTTCGAACCCCGAGCTGGCCTTCCCCGGAGAACGGGTCAGTGGGGGACATGGGCTGGGGGGGGATAGGCCTGCCCAGGCAGTCTGGGCTGCAGGGGAGCTGCCGTGGGCACAGACTCACCCCCCATGCTGCTGTGGTGGGGTATGTGTTTGCTCTTGAGGCGTCGGGCTGAGCCAGGCCCAGAGGGGCTGCCCCAGCGGGACTGGGGGCAGGGTGGACTTTGGCTCCTCCTTGCCCACCAGGAAGGGGCTTGGTAGCCCTGGGGCTAAAGGGCTGGGGATCTGAGGTGGGATCTTCACCCTGGAACTGCCAGCAGGGGTTTGCCCTTCCTTGATTGGGGCAAGACCCCTGGTGTTCTGCACAGAGAGGGCCTAGGCCTGACCATGGGAGCAGCTCTGCCTTTAGGCTGGGCTCACAGGGCTCCCCCCACCCCCCTGCCTCTCGCATGGGGTCTGAGCCCTGCGCTGCTGTCTCCACAGATCTACGAGGTGGTCCGGCCCCTGGTGAGCCTCCTGCACCTTCAGCGTACGGGCCTGGAGAACTTTGAGGGGCTGATGGCATTGACCAACCTGGCTGGGATCAGTGAGAGGCTGCGGTAGGAGCTGCACTGGGGTGAGGGGGAGCATGTCCTGCCCGCAGCTAGAGGGGTGCAGCCCTGGGCGGCCAGCGCTGACCCCCGCCCCACTGCAGGCAGAAGATCCTGAAGGAGAAGGCCGTGCCCATGATCGAGGGGTACATGTTTGAGGAGCACGAGTTGATCCGGCTGGCGGCCACAGAGTGCATGTGCAACATGGCCATGAGCAAGGAGGTGAGGGCTGTGCAGAAGCAGGCTTTGGGGGGCTGCTCCCAGCCCCCCAAACCCCCACATCTTCCTTCCTCCTCCTTGGCAGGTGCAGGAGCTGTTCCTGGCTGAGGGCAGTGACCGGCTGAAGCTGATGGTCCTGTACAGTGGGGAGGAGGACGAGAAGCTGCGGCGGGCGGCCTCGGGGACCCTGGCCATGCTGACCGCCCTGCATCCCGCCATCTGCAAGCGCATCCCCCAGGTGGTGAGTGCCTGGTGGCGTGGCGGGGGCACCCAGACCCCCGGGACAGCACCCACTGTCCCCTACGCCCTCTCCGCTGGAGCAGGGTCCTGTTGCTGGCCCCGGGAGCCACAGGGCAGCCTCTCCTGGCCTCTGCACCAGAGCTGAGGGGCTCGGGGGGGGCCCTCTTGCGCGGGGCTGCGCTGAGGGTGGCCTTGCTCCCCCTGCAGACAGTGCACTGGCTGGAGATCCTGCAGGCCCTGCTGCTGAGCCCCAGCACCGAGCTGCAGCACCGTGGCGCTGTGGTGGTGATGAACATGGTGGCAGCAGAGCGGGAGGTGGCAGAGCAGCTCATGGCTAGCGAGACACTGGAGATCCTCTCCGTGCTAGCCAAGGACGACCAGGACAAGCCCCGTGTGGCCCAGGCAGCCAAGGCGAGCCTGGCCCAGGCCGTGGCCTACGGCCTCATCCAGCCCAACCCTAGCCAAGCCTGAGGCTGCCCGGCGCTGACACACATGCTGCTCAGGGACAGTTGCCCACCGCTCGGGGATGGTTGCCCACCGCTCGGGGATGGTTGCCCACCGCTCGGGGATGGTTGCCACACTGCTACCCCAGGACTATGGCTGCGCTAGGGGCACCTGCCCAGTGGCCCGGGGCCAGGAGGGAGGATGGGGCTGGCCGCTGCCACCGTCTGCCTTAACCGGGGGGGGGCTGGGGTCCCGCCCGACGACACAGTCTGCACTAAAGCTGCTCTTGGACCACGGCCCTGGCTCTGTCCATCTGTTCATCCGTCCGCCCGTCGGTCGCGCCGCCCCCCCCC